AAAAAAAAAAAAAAAATCATTCATGACATTTATGAGGACAATATGTCTTCCTGTGTGTCTCTTTTGTTTCTTAGAAGGTGAGACAATGAAGTAATATACAGCAAGGGAAGGGTGAATCATGGGATTCATTCTGTTATGAAAGAAAATTATCAAACTTAATCACAGTTTTGAACTAGCATGTTTGTAATTTTCTTTGCTTTGCTCCTATCTCCAGATCCGTATGAATCTCCACTGTTTTGAACTAGTATGTTTGGTGGTATATATTAGAATAACTTCTGAATTTTTCATGAACTTTAACGCTGTAGTTTTGTGTTGCCAAACTCAGCCTTCATATTTTCATTTATGGTTTATTATATGTCATCAGCTGCAACTATTTTTTTCTTCTTCCCCTTTGTTCCTTAGTGGTTCCTCTCCTTACCTTCGAGTACTGATGGTTTTCAAACTGTCTACTGTGTATTAATGGCGACGGTCTTCTTTGGTTGCCTTCTGGGAAGCACTTCTTTCTTTTTTAGGCAGGTTCGACATTAGAATCCCTGGTTAGCCTTTCTTTTGGTTATGCGGGGATGGCACTAGGTCTGTATCGGGAAGGAAAACTGTTTATTGCAGATTTCATGTTAGTATGAAGGGCTGTATATTACTTGGTTTGGGGATTTGGGCATGCACGTGGATCTAGGTGCATGACATAGTTGTCAAATTTAGGAGTCACGATTTTGGCAAAAAGAGTTCTCAGTTCTTGACTCTAGATACAGGTACATGGGTACATTGATCATGAAGTCAGTAAGGTAATACAAGAAGCTCTGAAGATGTTCCATGTAGAGGTCACTATAGAAATATAAGAGTAATGCATTTTAACAAAATGTTGCACATTTATAAGTTATAACTAAAAAATGATATAAAGGAGGCACATCTTTTTAAGATACAGGGTAGTTTTTGATATATGTATTATATATCGGAGAGTTGTGTTCATTTCGAAATGGCTGGACACATTTCCTGTCAAATATGGTTTTGTATCGGTAACCAAAGAGTTAATACTTGAAGTCGCTTTATGCATATGCATTTCACGTTGTAGAAGTAAATCGATAAAGCCCAGAACTAAATTCCTGTTTTACCTCTAACCCTGTTAATTAAAAATGTTAACAAAATAGATGTTTGGAAATTTTTTCATTAATTGTGGAAGTATTCTAATTGCTGTAACATGAACAGGATTATGTGCCAACAGTTTTTGATAATTTTAGTGCTAATGTGGTTGTGGATGGGAGCACTGTTAATCTAGGGCTGTGGGATACTGCAGGTAAGTTGTTTTCAGTTGACATGTTTTCTTATTCATCTTTACACCATTATTGTACTGTAGCTTAGGCACTTGTCTTGTTGAACAGGTCAGGAGGATTATAATAGATTACGACCCTTGAGCTATCGTGGTGCTGATGTTTTTATTCTTGCATTTTCTCTCATTAGCAAGGCCAGCTATGAGAATATCTCCAAAAAGGTAAGAGTGACTTTACCTCTTTTGGTATGATTATTGCCCTTTTGTGCATTCCTCTCCTATGCAACAGGAAGAGAAAAGGCTCAGATAGTATAATGCTGATGGTTTTTTGTACGCTTATCTTTTGATGTTCAGTGGATTCCTGAACTGAGGCATTACGCACCTGGAGTTCCAGTAATTCTTGTTGGAACAAAGCTTGGTTAGGATTTCCTGCTTCCCTTTCTCTCTTTATGCTGTTATAATAATTTGCTGCTCTGTTCTTTTATATTACAAAAAGTGGTAATCTATTATATGCAAACAACTAAAAATAGTTCTTATTTTCTTTCTTGGAGTTGCAGTCTGCAAGTGCATTAGGTAGTAAGTAGTACATATCTTCATGACTTTGTCCAACTATTCTTTTCTTTAATGGAACGTTACCTTGAACATCATGAGAACTTGCTATTTATTTTATAAATTTTGTTATAGTTCTCTGTATAAGCTGTCATCTTTATTTAGCTCCTGTTTGGGCTCCGTCAAAAATATAATTCATTTTTCTCCTTCTTATCAACCACACATTCTCCAATAAAATAATATTACACGTAAATCCAAAACTTTTCATTTTTTAATCACACATTTTCCAAAAAATTACTATTTCAAAATACATTTTTCTCAAAATCTAATTAAAATGGAGGCCAAACAAGGGCTTAATGTGGAAATACAGGCCTTGAAATTACGTTCAATTTTTTTCGTCAGTAGCTATATATTGCACAAATCTTTTGGATAGGTTGTCCCTATCTCTTGGATTCTTTTTCCCCCCGTTTCCCTGTCATCCCCATTTGTGTGAGGTTTATCGGGTCCAGTGCATTTAACAAAGTGTGGCTTTGCTTCCATGTAGACCTTCGGGACGATAAACAGTTCTTTGTAGACCACCCTGGAGCTGTGCCAATCACGACTGCTCAGGTATAGCTACATCTTATGTTGGCTAAATCAACTTATGAACTGGTTTTAATCTTAATATGACAATTTTGCCCTTGCCTGGGTTTTGATTTTAACTTTAATGCCCTCTAGAAAACTTCATTTTTCTTATTTTGCATGAAGGGTGAGGAGCTGAGGAAGTTGATTGGAGCTGCTGCTTACATTGAATGCAGTGCAAAAACGCAGCAGGTGAATTTGGTTTTATGAAACGTTTCTTTCGGCCTTTAATTGGGAAGTTTCTTCTTTCGACGTATCTTTTAGGGGTTGTTTGACAAAGGTTTTAAAAAAAAAATTTAGTAGATTTTGATAAAAGTTGATGAAATGTATGGTTGAAAATAGGGTGGACCCACATGGGGTCATGTTTATTTTCTTGGAAGAAAAGTTCAACCAAGTTCCGCTTGCTACACAAACTTCGAAATAGGAGATGGAACCCTTCTTCAAATGACTACACAAACTTCAAAATCTACAAACCATAATGGATAGAAATACAAGCAATGGACATTCAGAACTTCATATATGGAAGAAGCCTACCGCCCTTGTAGCTTGAGTTTGAGTGTTATTAATTTTTGACCCAACAAGAGAAAATGTTTGATTTCGCCCCTGGTTGGAAATTTGGTAAAAATTGTGGTTCCATAGAATGTCTGGTTAAAATTAATTGAAGACTTTAATATTAGCTTTTTTCAACCTTTTAAGCTAATACCAAATAAGCACTTAATAAATTTCCTTCAAATATTGCAGAATGTGAAGGCTGTCTTTGATTCAGCCATTAAGGTAGTTATGCAGCCACCAAAGCAAAGGAAAAAGAAGAGAAAGGGTCAAAAAGCCTGCAGTATATTGTGATTGCTAAAAAAATGCTAATGGAGAGATTATATTTAGGGTTACGACTTCAATCTTATTTCTCTTGCACTCAGCCCTCGTTTGTCCATGCAATGACCTGTGCTGTGAATCTTGATTCTCGACTGACCGCTAAGGAGCTCTCCTAAAGCAGTCATTATCAACTGGAGTTTTGAGTTGTATATCCATTTGAGTCTTAATGTTATAAATTTTGTGCTCAGGGAAGATCCAGTTTATACCCCAGTTTGTGGCTTTATGAACAATCACTCTATTGGATTATGGAAAACTAGATTATCTACGCCATTCCGCATTTGTTTACAGATTATGTTTATGGCTACATTAATTTTGCTTTAGTATACCAGAAATTGTCAAATTTGGGTTTGATCTAAATTTGTGAAATAGAGAAAGTTCTACAGTGGAAAGGAAAATAGATTTTTTATTTGGAAAGAAAAATGAAAATAGAAGTCTTTTTTTTTTTTTTTTATTGAATCCTGCTATGAGTACAGGAAATACTCACAGAAATCACACAGGAATTTGAATTGGAGGGAAGGGATTCAATCAAGTGAGGAGGGAAAACATAGATTGAGGGACAAGATTCACAAATTTCAAATTTCTGTAAAAATCTGTGAATAAGTTCTGTACTTAAGGAATTATTCTTTTTTTAAAAATTGAATTAGATGAGTCTTTTTCTTATATGTTAAAGCAATCACATGTCGAATAGAAGAAAGAGGACTTATTGAGGCATGTTCTAGAAGGAAAGGACTTGTAATGCAATTAGGTTAGGGACCATCGAGAGAAAAAACGAAAACAAAAGGAGGAAGTCTGCTTTAATTTGTATTTGTGTTGACTAAAAGCAATATGAATTCCTCATTAATTGAAGCTTTGACCCTTTTTACACAAGACTTATCTAACACCTAAGCTAATTTTATCAGTCTTAATGTGGTTCTACCTCTACTCGAGTATCATCTGATAGATAGCGAATCTTGTCGTGTTAGGCTTGACTCTATACCCCAATTATTTGCGCATGACGCTTATTATCTTTTTATTTAAAAAATAACTAAAAGGGGGAAAATGTGTTAAAATTGTTGAAGCCTATTAACTCGGGCAAATCGCACGACCCAAGCTTGAAATCAGCTATGCTGGCTTCTTTTTAACATGTCGACGACCTCTTTCATATATGTCATTTTTGGAACTTCAGATCTTAGCCTTCTCCAAATTTTGTCTGTGTTTTTTTTTTCTTTTTCCATGAAAATCATCGAAACTATTTCTAGTGAAGCTTTGTATAATAACAAAGGGTAATTATATTCACGCTACAATATTTGTTTATTGCACTACATTTTAATTACAATGAAGGTCCTCAACCTTTGCTCATTCTTGTATTTATATCTCTAATTATTTCATCACATTTTTAATCTTAACTTTCGATTAATTAGCACATTTTGTCCCTGACGATTATCATCCGAACATTTTATTTATATACTTTGAAGAGGGACAATTAAGTCATTTTACACCCACGTAACAATTATTTGGATGAAGTACAAGATGCGTTGATTAATAGAAAGCTGGAGATAAAAATATGACAAAAAAATTAGAAATGTAAGTAGGGCAATAAAAAATTTAAAGACTTTTATTACAATTAAAATATGATACAACCAACAAAAACTGGGGGCGCCAAAATAATTATTTCACTTTGCAGGGTCTTTGCAATTAAGAAAATAATAATTACTACCATTTCCCTAGGGATTAATTATTAATTTATTTTTTTTCTAATAACACCGTAAGTGTACCGTTGCAGCAACCATCGAGCCACATTTCCGGGTCGAGAGTTCTCGGGCCGATTTGTCGGTTGGTATATTGACCGGTTATCATGGGTTTCCCGCAAATTATTGCCCGTTAGATTAACGGATTTTTTTTAAAAAAGAAAAAGAAAAAGATAAATACTTATTCATTTTACTGGGATATCTGTTGATTTGCCAACGATTCTGCAAACTCTTTTCAATTTCTATTTTATTCTTGGAATCAAAATTATTTTGCTTTTTGTGTACAATAAAGCCATCTGCTTGAGTAAGCGTTATTGTCATTTTCGTACTTTTTCAATATATTAAACTGTTTGCTAGTTGAAAGTAGGTCTACATTTGATCGTTGGCGGTATTTTCTTTTTCAATTTTTAAATTTTGATGGCTTTGAATGAGAAGCGTATTCAAATTTTAGGTAGATTTGTCTTGTCGGGTCCTGCTTAACTTTTGCTTATTCAACGTGTATTTGTTAATTCGACATAGGCAAGCTTGTTTTATACCCCATATAATGCGTTGAAAGTCTTGTGGGTCTTGCTGGGTTTACTTTAATTTTTTATATTATTTTGTGGGTCTGGGAATTTTATTCAAAGGGATGCTTTAAACTCAAGGATTGGATTCTTTGATTGTTTATATTAATTGGATGCAGTATTTTGATATTCAGACAGGGAAGTAATTATTGATTGTATTTGGTACAGAGTTTGATTATCATTTCAAGAAATGAGATGATAATCTTACTTCATGCAAACGAAAATTAACAGCTGCTTGGGAATGTTATGAAAGAGTGAATTTACTGGTCATCAATCAAGAAAAGAGCAGAATGATAGTTGAGCAATTGAAGAAAAGTCGTAAGAGGTACGTCCTGGTTGGGATTCGATTCGATGGCCATAGTAAAGAGTTGCTGGATTGGGCTCTGGTTAAAGTAGCTCATCCTGGAGATTGTGTAGTTGCTGTTCATGTTTGTCAAAATTCAGGTACATGGGCACTTGCAGTATTAGATAGGATTCAACCTTATTCTTTAATTCCATTTAGTCTTCTTACGTAATCCCGAATTACTTGAAACCGTGAAATTCTTGTCTAAATTGGATTGGATTGGATATGATTTGTAGAGTCAAGAGTATTAGGTGGTAACATTGATTTGTCAATGCAGATTCCCTTTCAAAAGTGAAAACATCGTTGGAGGATTATTTGGAAGATTATCGATGGCTTTGCAATCAAAAGCAGGTTTGTCAATCTTGATATTTTTCTGCCACTTTTCACTTTCTGAATGTAAAGCAAAACAGCAATTACCAAACCTTTAAAGTTAAATCCATTTTTTTTTTTTGGGCTGGGAAATTTAGGTGACTCTCTCTGCTGAGGTTTTCAAAGGGAATTCTGTTGGAAAAGTTCTAGCGAGAGAGGCAAAAAAGCACGCCGCATCAATTGTTATAGTGGGGATAACAAAGCATGGTGTAATCGGGTAAGTAGAGCTAGAAATAGAAGTTTATATATTTGATTTGTTCTATATGAGTTATGGTTTTGGTAAGTATTGAAAGAAGCTCGTCTCAGGGGATGGACTTCAATTGCTAAATACTGTGCAAAGCAACTGCCTTCGACTACTGAAGTCATGGCTATTAACAACGGGAAAGTTGTCTTTACAAGGAGTTCCAATGGCCAACTAGAAGGTATGGTATGGGTATGAATTCAAAATAGACGAGTAAACATTTCATTTGTTATTTAAAAGATACTAAATTTGTTGTACGATAATAGTTTCTGGACGAGATCCGAGACCAAGTTTGCATTTAATGGGTAATGTCACTTTCAAAGATAACCAGTCTGAATTAGTTGAATCTGAGCCGTCAGAGATGGGAAGACTTGGTGATGAAGACGGTGGTCGGAGCTTGAGAGATGAAGCTTTTAATCCTGTTAAAAGATGGATTAGAGGTTCTTTGAGTTCAATCTCTCTCAAGGTAGAGGACTTTTCACAGGTGAGGCCTGGTTGGCCCCTGCTTCAAAAAACATTTAGTTCAATAACTCAACCAGCTCCTGAAGCTAGACAAATGTCTGTTGTGCAATGGGTAATGAGCCTACCAAATCGATCTTTGCTTGAAGCTTCTGAATTGAAGTCCAATCTAAATGAGATGAATGATACTTTAGGAATTCAAAATGGGATCTCTGCAGAGAATAGTGGAGACTACAAATTGTCTGTTCGCAGGGAGGAGGCAAACCATTTGGAACTTATACCCATAAAAAAGTCATCAGGCTGCAAATGGTACAGCCATGAACTCCTTAAAATGTCGACTTCTCAATTTTCCTCAGGTTGTCGCTCGCACTCTTGAAAGAATCAAATTATGTTTTGACAGATCTTCTGTTCTAGTTTCACCTTAACTCAAGTGCATCCTCTGATTTAATTAATTAATTTTTTTTACAGAAAATCTTATTGGAAAAGGCGGTTGTAACCGTGTATACAAGGGGCTTCTTCCCGAAGGTAAACAAGTGGCTGTAAAGACTTTGATATCATCCAAAGAAGCACGGAAGAATTTTGCCATGGAAGTTGATATAATGACCACGTTAAAGCACAAAAGCATCACACCATTGCTCGGTATTTGCGTAGAAGATGATCATTTAATATCGGTTTATGATTTTTTGTCTACTGGAAATTTAGAAGAGAATTTACAGAGTAAGTCCCTTGAGCATCAAACATTATTTTATCCGAATATCATGTTTAGCTAAGCTTAAAAGAATTTCGTACAAGTAAAAGAGCAAGTTTTAAGATAAATAGTTCTTAATGTCAGTCAAAGTGATTTAAAGTAACATATTTGTACGTGTTTGGAAACAAAAAGTTACTTTTAAGCTTTTAGCCTTCTCTGAACATAACCTTGACATGGAGTTGGTTACCAAAGCAGGAAATATGAGGCAAAACTCAATGCCATGGGAAGTAAGGTTCAAAATAGCCGTTGGGATTGCAAAAGCACTGAAATACCTACATGATGAATGTCCAAGGCCAGTCATTCATAGGGACATCAAGTCTTCAAACATTCTTCTCACTGATAAATTAGAACCTCAGGTGCTTCTTTCGACCCTCATTTCTAGCAGGCGTCTTATTTTAAATCCGTCATTTTTCAATGCGCATATCATAACACGTTAACTCTTTGCTACAGTTATCTGACTTTGGATTGGCAATATGGGGACCAGAAACGGAATCTTTCCTAACGGTTAGCGATGTAGTAGGGACTTTTGGCTATCTTGCTCCTGAGTATTTTATGTACGGGAAAGTTAGTGACAAGATTGATGTATATGCTTTTGGCGTGGTTTTACTAGAATTGCTATCAGGGAGAAAACCAATTGGATTCGAGACTCTGAAAGGCCAAGAAAGTTTAGTCATGTGGGTAAGAACCTTGTTGTAAACATAAATTTTATGTCCTAATTGTTTTCAATGTGGATTTTACAAGAAATATTTGTGATTAGGCAAGGCCTAAACTAGATAATGGGGATTTAAAGAGCATATTGGATCCAAATTTGAGTGACAACATTGATGAGGCTCAAATGCGTAGAATGGCTAGAGCAGCAACTCTCTGTCTTAAACAAGCAGCACGGCTACGTCCCAGAATGTGCCAGGTACCCTTTTTTTTCTGAATAAACTCATCCATTTTGGCATCGTCTGTAAACTCATAATGTGGTACTAGTATTGAGAGTGTTGCTTTTCTTCTTGTCTGTACTTTAGATACTGAATATCTTAACGGGGGAGGAATTCGTGAATGAAGACGTAAAATCCCAGTTTGACAATGGGTACGAATCAGAAATCGCAGATGACAATGATGATGAAGTTTATCCAGATTCAACTGTAGAGTCCCATCTAAGTCTCGCGTTTCTTGATATAAACGATAGTTCTACATCTTTCAGCAGTCAAGAACAAAGAAGCCCTCTTTGTGATGAAGAATACTTCAAAATAAGATGGAGTAGATCATAGGGTTTAGAGTAATTTATGGAAACTTTGTTTCTTGTATATATAGTTAGAGACACAGCTTGAACGCCATAAGAGGTATTTAGGAGATGTAATCAGAATGAACTTCGTGGTAGTATACGAGGAAAAAGTCCGATATCACCAGGTTTCTGAAGATCATATGATGTTAGAACTGGATTTTTTAAAACTTCTGTCTTCATTCTCCTTCTTCTAAACCTTTGATTTACCTTTACCTTTTTATCTTCCTTTTTACTGCCTTTCTACCCGTTACAGTTATTATATGTAATCTTTGTACAACTTTAAGCAACTGAAGAGTGAGATACACACTCAAAAGCCCATTTTTTTTAACATCGAGCATTTGAAACAAAAGCACCATCAAAATTGCAAATCAAGTACTAACCTAGCCGGCTAGCCGTCAAATTCCGTCTAACCGCACCTTGATGATCATAGTTTGTCATACATGACTCGATCATTGACCTGGCCAAAGCACTGAATTATCGATTCAGCTGTTGATATTTGTTTAAGATGAGGAATCAATCTACGCTTGTAATTCTTTGTGAAATACTTGTCAATTAGATGCATGTTTCTTAATTCTTGGTGCATACCTCTGAGGAGAAATGATTTACTAAGTATGGTACAGTTGAATTTAAGAGAGAAAA